TCTGGGTAAACAGTGTTCGCCATTTGGGTTTGGTCCATCACACATCACTTCTTGTTAAAGGAATTTGCTACATCATTAAATGGCTTTTAGAAAGTCCGTTCAAGTGGCCATTAAATAATTCTGGCACAAGTCAGAACTACAAAACTATCTGCACTTCTACGAGATGTGAGAGGCTGGAAGTGTGTTTTGAGAGATGAATTCATGAGTCTAGTCCTCTGTGAGGCAGCTGGCCACTCCTTACGTGGCACGGAGTCACACAGCCACCCGTCTACTGTTGAAGCATACAATAGTGGCCAAAATTGTGGAAAACCTTTGGGGAAAGTATTTTGGAGGTTTGATGGCTAATAACACCACTTTTCTTTTGAGTAGTACCATACAATTATATATCAATGGAAGGATAATTTAATCAAGAATATAATGCAACAAAGTTTGTTCAATTATCTGTATTCTATGAAAAGTTATAGCCAAATATAGCCGCAATAAAACCAAGTTAATAGAAGCAATCATTCAATCTTGGTTTCACATTGTAACAGCTGCAGAACTAAAAGACTTGGTTCACTCCATGGGAAGATGTTATAAGGCCATAATTCCTGCTAAAGGTTACCCAATTAAGTATTAACTGACACGGTGATAATAATTTATCTCGTTTTTTTTCTACGTGTCTTCACTTTTCTTCTTTATAACTCCTATTCTAAGAGCAAATCCTTCACAGAAGTTATTGCATTACATTCTTGATTTAATTATCTTTCCATTGATATATAATTTTACGGTACTTACTCCAAAAAAAAAAAGTGTTGTTGTTAGCCATCAAACCTCAAAAATACTGTACACTTTTCCCCAAAAAGTCTCCACAATTTTGGCCACTACGGGTCGTGTCCCTAAAGTTACGCTTCTGTTCCACTGAAACATCTGGCTTCCCGAAACAGAATAAGAAAGAAAGAAAAACACTCACGATGGTCGCTTCGCTCAGAATGCTGTTTAAGGAAACTCTAATCCCCTTTTGATCGAGGGCACATATATTTGCTGCCCGGCCTTAACTCCCCATGGAATTATGGGCTTTTTTCCTGGAGTAGAGTGGGTCTCTTTTGACAAGGGGGCAGACCCCCCCCCATCCTTCCCAAAGGGCTGTTCTTGAGCCTTCACAGTCGACGTTAAAAATGACAACACACGAAAAAGAGTCTTTGGGGGGGAAAATATCACATCTCTACATATTGGAGATTGTGGAGAAACCGCCCCCCCCCCTCCTCAAATCAGGCTGTGGGAGGCAAAGCTGGGATTTGCCAAGAGAAGAATACCTGGACAGGTGTGCTTAAGTGTCATTAAGGGGCAGCCCCGTTCTTTCCAGCTCCTCCCATCCTCAATCCCAGAAACATTAACTGGGAAGGAGATGGTCCTCTTGGGCAGACAAGGGGAGCATCAACACGTCGCTGCTTCCCGCAAAGAGGCAGCTCAGCTTGGGCTTCAGTTCGTTCCAGACTTTGCTCATCTGCAGGAAGGGAAGGAGAGAGGCAGGAGTGGTCAGCAGAAGGGCGGGGGAACATCTGCAGAAGATGCCCTCCAACGTTTACCCTTGGCGGCTTGAGGGAAACAAGAGAGAGGAACGCAAGAGCCGCCTAGAACTGCCAGCTGGTGAAGGACACACACACACTGTCACACCTGGGAGCCATTTTTTTTACCTTTGGGACTTCCGGCCTGCCACAGTTTCTACGGGGATTATATGGCGTATGGATGATATGTAGCCATAACAACATTCTTTCTCAGAAAGTCAAGGTCATCTGGCCCGGAGGTGACTGGGAGGCATCTCCAGTGTTGGATGGTGCTCTGATTGGATCGTGTGATGGACATGTGGGTGCTGGGCAGGGATTTGAAAGAGCCGAGGTGGTGCAGTGGTTAGGGTGCAGTACTGCAGGCCACTTCAGCTGACTGCTATCTGCAGTTCAGCGGTTCAAATCTCACTGGCTCAAGGTTGACTCAGCCTTCCATCCTTCTGAGGTGGATAAAATGAGGACCCAGATTGTTGGGGGCAAAAGGCTGACTCTGTAAACTGCTTAGAGAGGGCTGTGAAAGCATTGTGAAGTGGTATATAAGTCTGTTATAGCATAGGAAGGAAGGAAGGAAGGAAGGAAGGAAGGAAGGAAGGAAGGAAGGAAGGAA